AAGGTTTAAAAATACCTTTTCCAATAGCATTAAAAATACAAAATATTTAGGGATAAATGTGACAAAAGATGTGCAAAACCTTTACACTGAAAGCTACAACATGGCTGAGAAATTTAAAAAGACCTAAACAAATGGAGAGATAAAGACTCAATATTGTTCAAAAGTCAATATTCTCCAAACGGATCTAGAGTCAAAACAAGTCCAACAAAAATCCCAGCAGGTGGAGTGGCTCAGGCCTATAATCCAAGCACTTTGGGAGTCTGAGGTAGGAGTACTATTTGAGGCCAGGAGTTTGAGACCAGTCTGGGCAACACATTGAGACCCCATACCTACTTTATTAAAAAATTAAAAAACATTCCCAGTAGACTTTTTTTTGGTTGAAATTAGCAAACTGATTTTAAAATTAACATGAAAAATCAAAGGCCCCAAAAACCTCTGAAAAAGACAAAGCTGAAAGACTCGTATTACTTGACTTCAAGAGTTGGTCAAAAGCTGCAGTAATCAAAATAAAATTATACTGGAATCAAGACAGACAAAAATCAATGGAACAGAACAGATTCCCAAAGTAGAGTCACATATATATGGTCAATTCATTTTTGACAAAGCTGCAAAAGCATTTCGAAAGGACAGTCTTTTGAATAAACGGTGCTGGAACAACTGGATATTCATGTGTAAAAAAGCCCAACCCTTTGATCTATACCTTGTACCATATGCAGAGATTAACTCAAAATGGATCATAGACGAACATATAAACTGAAAACTATAAAACTTAGAGAAGAAAACACAGGGAAAAATCCTTGTGACTTGGGATTAGTCAAAGGTTTTTTTGAGATACAATAGCAAGTAACATACGCCATAATAGAAAAAGTCAATACAGTGGACTTAAAATTAAGAACTGCTTTTTGAAAGACACTTTTAAGAAAACAAAGAAACAAATTATGAATGTGAAGAAAATATTTGTGAATGACATCTGATAAAGCATTTGTAACTTAGAATACCTAAAAGAATCTCAAAACTCAATAACCACTCAATTAAAAAATGGAATAGATTTGAACACACTTCACCAAAGTAGACATACAGATGGCAAGAATAGATGTTCGACATTATTAATCATTAGAGATACACGAATTAAACCACAATGAGAATGACTAAATTAAAGACTGTGCTCAGTACTGGCAAGAATGTGGAGTAACTGAACTCTCATACACTGCTATACTATAATGTAAAATGATAAACCACTTTGAAAAACAGTTTGGCAGTTTCTAAAAAAATTTTAAACATACACTTACCATATGACCTAGTCATCTGCTCCTAGGTATTTACCTCAGAGAAATAAAAGCAAAAAGCATACATTCATCCCAAGACTTCTACATAAATGTTTATAGAAACTTTGTTAACAGCCAAAAATGAGAAACAATATAGTGAATGGGTATAATCATACAATAGAATACTACTCAGCAAATTTTCAAAGGAAATGAAATATTGATATACATCAACAACATGGGTGAATCTCAAAAATAATTGTGCTTAGAGGCTGGGCATGGTGGCTCACGCCTGTAATCCCAGCATTTTGGGAGACCGAGGTGGGCAGATCACGAAGTCAAGAGATTGAGATCATCTTGGCCAACATGGTGAAACCCCGTCTCTACTAAAAAAACACAAAAATTAGCTGGGTGTGGTGGCACACACCTGTAGTCCCAGCTACTCGGGAGGCTGAGGCAGGAGAATCGCTTGAACCCAGGAGGCAGAGGCTGCAGTAAGCCGAGATCATGCCACGGCACTCCAGCCTGGCGACAGAGTGAGACTCTGTCTCAAAAAAAAAAGAGTGCTTAATGAAAAGAGACAGGCAAAAAAGTATTTAATATATGATTCCATTTTTATACAGCCCCAGAAAATGCAAACTAATCAACATTAACAGAAAGCAGATCCATGGTTGCCTGGAGATTGGGGCAGGGGGAGGTGGGATGGGCTCTGATGGAAAAGGAAGGAGGGACTAACCAAGGGGCATGAGCATATCTTCATTATTTGTGGTTTCACTGGTATATACATATGTCAAAATTTATTAACTTGTACACTTCCTTTTTTTTGAGACAGGGTCTCACTCTGTTGCCCAGGCTGGAGTGCACTGGCTCAAGTAATCCTCCCACCTCAGCCTCCCAAGTAGCTGGGAGTACAGGTGCTTGCCACCATACCTGGCTAATTTTTTGTTTAGTTTTTATAGAGGTGAAGTCTCAATATGTTGCCCATGTTGCTCTTTAACTCCTGAACTCAAGCGATCTGCCTGCCTCAGCCCCACAAAGGGTTGAGATTACAGGCATGAGCCACTATGCCTGTCCAAGTTGTACACTTTCAATATGTCCATTTATAATATGTCCATTATACCTATATGAATCTATTTTAATAAACAACTCAATAAATAAAATGGTTGCAAGATCTGAATGGTGACAAAAGAAGATAAGCATTCACAAAAAGATGTTTGGTATTATTAGCTACAGAAAGACAAATTAAACTAATAATGATATATCGCTACACACCCCCACAAATGGGTCTAATTTAAAAAAATATTGACAATACCAAGTGCTGGCAAGGATATAGAAAAATTGAACTCTTATACATTGTTGGTGAAAATGTAAAATGCTTAAATTAAAAAAAATTTTTTTTAATAAATAAGGATGAGGTATTGCTATGTTGCCCAGACTGGTCTCAATTTGCAAAATCCCATGCCACTTTGGGAAATAGCTTGGCAGTTTCTTTTAAATTTAAGAATATACTTTCATAAAATCCAGAAATCACACTCCTATATCTACCCAAGAGAAATGAAAACAGTATGGACATAGAAAAGACTATATGGAAATGTTTTCAGTGGCTTTACTAAAAATCAACAAAAACTGGAAACATTCCAAAAGTCCTTATATTGGTGAATGAATAAACAAACTGGCTAATTCATACAATGGAATACTACTCAGCAATAAAAAGCAACAAAGTATTTATACATACAACCACATGGATGAATCTCCAATGAACTTAAAAAAGCCAAACACAAAAGGCTACATACTCCATGATTTATCAGATGTTCATGAGAAAGCAAACTATAGGAATAAAAATCAGATGAATAGTCAGTAACAGTTGCTAGTGGGTAAGGGGAGTAAATTGACATGAAGGGGCATAAAGAACTCTTCAGGATGATGGAAATGTTGTACATGTTGATGTGGTGACGGTTACACAACTGCAAAATTAACAGAAAAATGTCTTAAAGAGTGAATTTTGCTGCATATAAATTATGCCTAAAAACCAGACTTAGATTAATTATAGATGAAAGAAAATACACATTTTAGGCCTGGCTCAGGGAGGCAGAAGCAGAAGTATCACTTGGGTTCAGCAGTTTGAGGCTACAGTGAGCTATGTTCATGCCTGTGAATAGCCACTGCACTCCAGTCTGGGCAACTGTGCCCTGCCCCTTGTTGTATTTAAAGCACAGTCATTTTTTAAGAGACAGGTTCTCTTAAAAAGAAAAACTTTCTTAAAAAGGAAAAGTATACATTTTAAAAGATATGTGTGAAACATGTAGGTAAAGCATGTTTGGTATGGTAAGAATGTGCTTTAAATACCACAATGGGCAGGGCACAGAGGCTCACACTTGTAATCTCAGCACTTTGGGAGGCTAACGCAGGAGGATTGCTTGAGGCCAGGAGTTTAAGACCAGCCTGGGCAACATAGTGAGACCCTGTCTCCACAAAAATTAAAACGGTGCTGTGGTTAGAGCCTGTAATGCCAGCTATACTCGAGGGCTAAGGCAGGAGTACTGCTTCAGTCCAGGAGTTGGAGGTTGCAGTGAGCTATGATTGTGCCACTTCACTATAGCCTGGGTGACAGAGGAAGACCCTGTCTTATACATACACACATAAATCCAACAAGGAAGACAAGAAATATAACCTCTTTCTCTTCTCCAGAGCCAAGAATGTCTAAATGTTGACAGTCAGGATTTAGTACACTGGGTTTCAAATGCTTGCTCTCATCTTTTCTCCGAGTGCTGCAAAAGATTCTGTCCACCCTGTTGCTCCAGCTAATTTTCTAATGTTCTAATGGAAGCAGTATTTATCAATCTGGGCCCCTGTCTAACAACATGATAAAGAATTTAGTGCTTCTGAAAGTGATATTTCTCCTTCTGAATCACTTTTTTGCCCAAATGTCAAAAGTGGGTATATGGAGAATAAAAAAGATGGGTTCAAGTTGCTGGAGGCACTAGCTCATGAATAGGCTGCAGAACTAAGGGGCTGACCAGCGGGGGTTCATGCAGATTCCCAGAGAACCTTTTTTTTTTTTAAGATCGAGTTTCACTCTTGTTGCCCAGGCTGGAGTGCAAGCGTGATCTCGGCTCACTGCAACCTCCGCCTCTCAGGTTCAAGCGATTCTCTTGCCTCAGCCTCCCGAGTAGCTGGGATTACAGGCGCTCACCACCATGCTCAGCTAATTTGTTTTTATTTTTAGTAGAGATAGGGTTTCACCATGTTGGTCAAGCTGGTCTTGAACTCCTGACCTCAGGTGATCCATCCACTTTGACCTCCCAAAGTGCTGGGATAATAGGCATGAGCCACCGCACCCAGCCCCCAGGGTAATTTTTGAAGGCACAGGTGTATAGGTCCTCAGATTTTGGACAGGTTCCAATTTGAGTAATTATATTCTCTCTCCCTTAGTACCCCCTGCTGTTTCTGGTGGATACAGAATTCTTATTCACTTCCTGCACTAAACTGTTGTGTAGAGTTGCTGTGCAGCTGTTAAACAGCTGCCACATTTCTCTCCATATATAGTCTCTAAAGCATTTTTGGATGAAAGGAATTATATAAACATATTTTATTGTCATGTACTGGTTGCCTTACCACTTAGCTGTAGGTTTTGTGAGGTTGTAACTATTAAATTCAAATCCATATTCCACAGCACATCAATGTTTAATTTCTTCCCCCACCTGCTCTCCAATGCTCTCTAAACAGCAAGGCTCTTACCACAAGGGTCCGTAGACAGAGTGTCCCTGCAGGAGCACGGGGGTCCAAAGCAGCCACAAGATCCCACACTTTAATTTTTCTAAGATCAAAAAGGGGACAAAAATGCTAGTTAAAAGCAAAAGTAAGAGAACACAGGGAAGAACAGCAGAAATTCATGGCAATAAATATGGATGGTGAGTATAGTTGAAATGTACGTGATTAACCTACAAATGAGAAACAGGCTAGCTTTAACCAAACTGAAGACATTTAATAGTAAAGTTAAACCACACTTTGGGATCAAGAGGAGATCCTGTACATTAGACCTCCTAATGATATTACATAGACCTAGAAATGTACAACTCTGAGGCATCCTCTTCCTGGTCACTTCTAAGAGTGGCCCAGGTCACATGTACTGAGGGACTGGGGTCCATGTAAGAGCAATGGAGTTTATATAAGTAAGCCCTCATCTTTTGATTTAAATAAGTGTAGCTCTTCCAAAAATCTTTTATAGGCCATGTTTCCTCAAGGTACATAACAGACAAATTCCAAGACAGGTGGGTATAGATCAAAGCCAGGGCAACAAGAAAATACTGTCTTGACCAAGCTGGAACATGTCACCACACTCTGAACAATTTCCCAAGGTTGTAACAGTGATGGCTGACCCAAAGCAGAAGAAGTGAGCAGCTTCTTGCTGCTTGCATTGGCTAATTAATGTATCAGTATAGTTAGCTCATGAACTAAAATAATGTTGTTAGTTTCTGATATTTAAAAAGTTGCCAATATTTGAACTGTAGCCTTCTACCCTTCACCCCCAAAATCAGGCAGTTTGACAAAAAGAAATGATAAGGAGTCCTTCGTAAGTGAACAACTTTTTTTTTTTTTTTTTTTTTTTTTTTGGAGACGGAGTCTTGCTCTGTCGCCCAGGCTGGAGTGTGGTGGTGCAATCTTGGCTCACTGCAACCTCTGCCTCCCTGGTTCAAGCAATTCTCCTGCCTCAGTCTCCTGAGTAGCTGAGATTACAGGCACCTGCAACCACACCTGGCTAATTTTTGTACTTTTAGTAGAGACTGAGTTTTGCCATGTTGGCCAGGCTGGTCTTGAACTCAAGTGATCCGCCTGTCTCGGTCTCCCAAAGTGTTGGGATTACATGCACAAGCCACTGTGCCCAGCCTACTTTTGTTTGAATTTACTCTGTGTTTAGGATTGATGGACGTGGGGTCCATTCACAACATTAATGGATTCCATAACCACTAGAAATTAGAAGAAAATAAAGATGACTAAACTCATAAATGAAATGCTAGGATGACAAGTGATGACAAGAGAACTGTACTTTTAAAAATTACTAAAAGAGATAAAAAATCCAAGAGATCAAAATTGGAGATCTTACCACACTAAGTCCCCAAATACTGCCCTCGAGTGTTTCTGTTTTGTTAACAGGTTACCACCTTACATGGGTAGCCTGTTAACACTGGGTTTTTCTTGTTTTGCTTTACAGGGCAAAACAGTCAAATACATAACCAAATAACCAAAATATGAATGACAACCATGTGCAAACAAGTATAATAAAATGATTGGAAAGAATATTTCAGGACACTAAACCAAGGAGAGGTAAATATACAGATTAAAGAAATATGGTATCACTTTGTGTAAAATCTATAAGCTTTTAGAAACAAGGAATGGTAATGTTTAACACCATAAACATAAGGAAGGATTAAGACGTTGATTTTCTCTTTTTACACTGTTAGCACACTCACCCATCATAGGCCCCACTGACTATCCTCTTGTTATCAAATCGAATACAACGCACCAATTCCTCATGGCCTTCTAACACTCGTAAACATGCACCACATTCTATGTCCCATAATCTGGAAGAGAAAATTGAGTCAAGTGAATTTTCACGTATTCTTTTCTAAGTCTGGAATGTTATAATACACTTTATATGCCTTCTAAAAATTCACAAAATAAAATCAATCACCACCCACAAAGATATGTACTGCTTTCAATGTAATTTATTTCCTTTCTGCTATATAACTCACACAGAAAAATGTAGGTTTAAGTTCAAACATAAAATGTATTTTCAAAGCACAGTGCTTTATATAATTCTGTAAACAGGTTCTTCCAGGCATAAAAACGAATTCAATGCACACAGTTGCCTGAGCAGGAAATGACCAAGCTAAGAAAGTAGTTTCCTGAAGTCATCAAACTGAATAAGATACAGATTATCAGTGATGTCCTGTTCTCACAAAGCACCTCCCCCTCTGCCATGGTGGACACTTCTTTTACCACTGTCCAGGACAGTTATTCTCAGAGAATGGAAATGCAAAGTCAGTTCTCAAAAACTTTTGTGTACTAATTTAAAAAACTGTATGTTTTCAGAGCAATTCAAGTGACTTCTAGGAATAATTTCCTTAGATATAACAAACAGTAGCTCTATCTGTTGTTTTTTTAATGGCCTTTTCATCCTTTTAGTACTTCACTGAAGGGTAATGATGGATAAATCTTCCAAATTCTAATCATGTCTATGTCATTCGTCTTTGTGAAGAGAACACCCCAAAAAGGGCTTCCAACTGTGAAACCTTCATAATTTCAAATACAGGTAACTCTCTGGCCAATTATGTAATGCTAAGACAAAAATTACATAATTTCTAGTAAGGAAACAAATCTTTTCATTTCTTGAAAACAATGGCAAAGAAAAGGCTTTTAGCTGTTTATTAGCACTTTTCAACTGTAGACAGGAGAAATTTAAAAAGAAGGGCAACAAAAGGCTTTGCTGTGCTGCTTCTCTGCTTGGGGCAAACTTCTGATCTGTAAGAAGCTACAGAAAGGAAACACAGTTGATTATAAACATAACAAAATTACAGACTTGCATGATCTGTGCATTAGTAATGAATGGGAGCATAATATCAATCCCTTATGATACAAGTTACTAGGTGCTCACCTGATAGTGTTGTCAGATGAGCCACTCACTACCAGCCTGTCCCTGTACTGCAAACAGGCAATGCCTCGTTTGTGTCCATTTAAGGTCCTTACAAATTCACAAGTACTTGTGTTCCATACCTGAAAAAGAAAATGACATTGAGCAGTTGATTTGGTGCTTTTACTGGTAAAATCTATGGCAACTGGAGTCTTAGGGAAGCAGAAAACAGGACTGAACCATTAGAGGGAAGTCAACTTCTCAAACAAATAAAACAAAGGACAATTTAAATTCATGGTAACAGAGACTAATTTGCAGTTGGCTGTTACCACATGAGAATTCCTCAAATTGATTTACTCTTCTAGGGTTAGTCTCTTCTCACACTCACCATTATTTATAGGAATAAAATACCTCGGCCAAATTGTCACACAACGTCTCACTTATTACCTTTCCACTTGTAGAATAGTCTCTGAATTAAATATTATATTTTTCTGCACCAATGTTTAAATATGAAATTGCCCTTGATCAAATTTTCATATGAATTTCCCATTCTAAGTTGGAAACTTACTGAAAAATGCCTTATTACCTTTATAGTTCTATCCCCAGATGCAGAAACGATGTACTTGTCATCAAAGTCTACAACATTGACAGCAGCTCGGTGTCCGACCAGCACCCTCCGGAGGGTAATGTCAGTTGGGGAGGCCATATCCCATACAGCAATGGAACGATCTTTGGAGCAGGTCACCATCATGCCATTATTGAAACGCAAGTGCAGAACTGCTTCACAATGGTGAATCAACGTGTTTAGCATTTCACCTGTATTTACATCCCACACTCTGGAAGCGACAGATGAGATTTAGATGGTACTCAAGCTACAATCTGTTACCTATATTTGACCATCATGCACCCTTCCACCCCTTATATTTAGAGAGAGTGCCGGACCGGGAGAGTGGGAGAAGAAAGGGAATGGGATGCTGCCAGTGTGTCCTTAAGACATACTGCTTGAAATATGGGCAAGTTGTGGAGGGCAAGGATGAGGTGGCAGCCACTGTCACCTAATAATTTGGCCCAGACTGTAAAACTTCTGACATTCAATTGGATACCATTAGTAAGATACATTTTAAATGGGGAATCTGAATAATAACAGTAGCATTAGTGCCCATCCCAATGATAGCCCTCAGGAGCCAGAAATGACATAGGCTAAGATGCTTCTGTCACATACTTAGTAATGTGAATTTGAGTTTGATTGCCCTGGATCTCAGGTTTTATCACAAAGGTCAAAGGCCAAGATAATCACGACTCTAATTCTAAGCCCCCATTTCTGTGTTTTGAAGTAGGCAGGGGTTTAAAACAGCCCCTGCATTGTAATTATGGGCTTCACAGCAGAGTGTGGGGTCCTGGGATAGCTTGAGAATTGTGTGTGATGATATATTTTGATTATTCTATTTTTGTTTATTTACTTTGGGTTTTATAACATGTTATTTCCTTTTTCCAGTTTAGCCCCCTTTTATAGAATATCATCTTTTCTTTATAAATGATGTTAGCATCTACAGTGTTTCAGATTCTGTGGGGCACTCGCTCCACAAGCACCAATAAATGTTAAATGTCAGTAACTACAAGGACAAGTTTGCTATGCCTTTAAGTCAAAAGACAAAAAACAGGAACAGTCTTTTCTATTCACAGAGGATAACTTGGAATGGTAAACATTTAACTTCAGAGTATCTAACAATGCAGTTAACTGCTTTTTTCCTACGTCTATTTTTTTTTTAAGTTACTTTTGATGCATTATGTTTGCTAAATCCTTTAGCTTAAGGCAAAATTCCTAACAGAGGTTCCCAGCAGTGCTGCTGGTACCCAGAACTCTAGCTATCCTGGACTCCAGCAGTATAATGGCTGTGTCATCAAATCACTAATGCCTCTGGAAATTGAGGGCCCCTCCCTGAGTGAAGCTCGCAATTAAAAACTGCAGGGATGGCAGGGCAGGGGCTGGCAAAGAGAGCACAGCTCACCTGTACATGTTTCAAAGGAGATAATACAGACCTGCACTACAGTTACAACTACCTGAAAGGAAGGCTTCATTGCATTCATGTCATTCCCTTGTGAGATGGCTTTTGTAAGGAATGCAAAGTTTACCATAAGGATAAGAAAAGTTTCTGTAATAGATGATCCTCCAAATTAATATAGAACGTGTAGTTTCTTAAATGTGTGAAAATGTAAACTTACCTCAAGCATTCCTAAATCAAGTTTTCTAGTTCTAGACTGACAGAAATGATGGGGACCTGGTGGTTTATTCTTCTTTAGTTTCAGAACTGTGCCGATATATACAAAATTACTATCTATGACAAAGAACAGAGTAGAGCTGATGTTTCAGAGTTCAAAAGAGCATATGAAATTTTCTACCTGACCGTGGAATCCGATGATCCAGTTATGATCACTCTCTCATCATACTGGAGACAGAGGACAGAACCCGTATGGCCTGTGAGAATTCGCTTGCATTCCAATGTGTTTTTATCCCAGATCTAGGATGGCAAATAAGATCCTTTTGATCAATGTGATGATGGGGTGCTGTGGAGACTTGTTGGTCCTATTATGTGTTTGATCCCCCAAATAATCAAAGCCCAGAGTAGTGTGGAAAGCATTCTTCCCTATAGGTATAGCTAAGCGCACACACACCCACCCATATATATATATATATATATATATATATATATATATATATATAGCTTCAGTACTACACAAACTTTTATCCTTTTCATTAAGGAACAGGGTAGTTTATAATTATGTGAGGGCCAAAAGAGTAATAGCCCATTCAGTGCATTTTGAGAAGAGAATTTAACCCTAGGACTACCCATTTGTATAATATTCTGGGGGGAAGCAGATGTCTGTCCTTTAAGGAAATGATTTTGGCTTTGGAACTGGAAACAATCTAAAATCTTCACTTACTTTCTAGAAATAATGCTTAGAGTTTATGCTTTGGACTGTGCTAAGAATGTAGTCAGCCTCGCTCCCTCCGCTACCTTCCTACAACTGAACAGACCTCACCTTGATTGTGTTGTCTCGAAGGCCGCTTACTATTTTCTGATCATCATACTGTAAACAGTAAACTCCTTTGCTTGTTTCACTTCGGCAGTGAATTCTCTGTAAACTATGTCTTCCACATCTCCAGTTAGATTCTATTGTCTGAGAAGAAGGAATGGGAAAGTGGCAGTGTTAGGAAACGCCTAGAATCAAACTCTTTTTGGGCTTTAATGACAATCAAAGGCTCGATGCTTTACTCTATGGGATATACACAACTTAGGGAAAACTTTAAAATGTCTTTAAAAGGCTACTATCTACATTTATAAAATATTTTCCCTTTTGCAAGGTAATTAAAGTTTGTTTCCTAGAACTCCCCTGCCTATAATTTGTTCAATTAAATAATAAATCTAGTGGGAAGAGACTACTCATCAAGAGGAGAAAAGCTACAAACTATGTGAGGTTATACACTCAGTGCTCTTACATATGTGATGGCCATTGCTACTGATGAACTTCTATGGAGGTTCAATTCAGAAGATATTTGAGGACAAGTTTACCAGTCACACTGCTATTGTATGAAGGGATCAATCTCTTTATCTCTCTCATCTACGTATCTATCAGTAAACAATTTTTTAAAGCTTTAAAATTTTGCCTAGCAGTTTATTTTACCTACCCTACTTGCCTGTAAAGAGACTGATTTCCTTTTCTTTTTCTTTTTTTTTTTTTTTGATGGAGTCTCACTCTGTCGTTCAGGCTGGAGTGCAGTGGCACGATCTCGGCTCACTGCAACTCGTGCCTCCCAGGTTCAAGCAATTCTTCTACCTCAGGCTCCTGAGTAGCTGGAATTACAGGCGTGTGCCACCATGCCTGGCTAATTTTTATATTTTTAGTAGAGAAAGGGGTCTCACCATGTTAGCCAGGCTGCTCTCAAACTCCTGACCTCAGCCTCCAAAAGTGCTGGGATTACAGGTGTGAGCCACCACAGCCAGCTAAGAGATTGACTTGCAACTCATGTCAATAAACCTTAATGGGCTTGCTGTAACCATATTGTGACTGAAGAATGCTGATAATTCTGTGCCACTGGGCAAATACCCCAAAATACATAGATTCTTACCTCAATGTCTTGTATAATTTTAGGATAAAGTGCTCTATAAAAAGAGTTGGGAGGAGCATTCCCGTCAGGAGGTTTGTTTTTGAATAAATACTGCCCCCTAAAAAAAAACAAATATTTCCCAATGAAAATCATGACATTATATATTTATATACATATATATTTTGAGACAGAGTCTTGCTCTGTTGCCCAGGCTGGAGTGCAGCAGCGTGAGTTGGCTCACTGCAACCTCCTCCTCCTGGGTTCAAGCGATTCTCCTGCCTCAGCCTCCTGAGCAGCTGCGATTACAAGCATCTGCCACCACGCCGGCTAATTTTTGTATTTTAGTAGAGATGGGGTTTCACCATGTTGGTCAGGCTGGTCTCAAACTCCTGGCCTCAAATGACCTGCCTGCTCGGCCTCCCAAAGTGCTGGGATTACAGGCGTGAAACATCACACCCGGCCGACATTATATATTTATAAGGAGCTTCATATATTTTCAAAGTGTTTTCACAGTTACCATTCCATATACTCTCCATAGCTGCCTAGGGAGGAGCAAAGGTAAGCCTGATTTCAGGAGTCCCATGTCAAAGAGCAACCTTCTGGGCTCTAAGGAATCTGATCAACACTGATTTGCTTTTGGGTAAAACATGATTATTTCCAGTGTAGAACATCAGAGTACCAAGCCTTTGGAAATATTATAATATCAGTAAACAAATGGAATATGTATAATCAGAATTCATCTATTGGTCTATTAAGACTACTGCTTAGATTCACTGACCTCATCTTTTGGAAATTTTGCTAGTAATGGTAAGTATTACCTTTGAACTAGCACATGCCCTATAATTTTTTTTTTCTTCTTTTACTGTGTAGTGGTCCCCAGCATTGTAAACAGCAGCAATGCCTCTGGCATGGAGATCACTTTTTCTAGGTCTTTATCTGTGTGGCTGCTCAGTCACCCAGGCTGCTGCTAATCAGTGCAACTATGCTTTGAAAGGAGCAATTCAGTTCATTTCAACAGAAAACAAAAGGATCACAGGTTTGTCCAGCAGCAGCTAGGGAAGAAGAAAAAAAGAAACGCCTAAGAGCATTGTGCTATCAAGTCTAAGGCATGAAACTGACTTTCACAGGTGTGTTCCTGGCTGTGTATATACATACATGTACTTAACTGCCTTCCCTGTTTCCAGTGAGCAACATTGGTTAGTATCTCCTTCCTTATGACAGCACATCTCTGGAATACTCGTATCCCAAGCTAGATCTTTGCTACAAAAAAAAATCAGTAAACGGCAATCACTTCCTGCTGGGTAAAAAATTTAATTCCTCATCCTGAAGTTAAGAACCCACCAAACACGGTGTGGAAGCTAGTAAACCCCACTATGGGTGTACTAACTGCTGTTCTCACTGGCACTGTGCCTTGCAAAGTGGAGATAGGCAGAAATGCCTCTGAGTGTAATCCTGGCACCAGAGAAATCATGTTTTCTCTGGGCCAGTCATCCACTCCTCCCTCTATAGCTCCATTACAATATAATTAATTGTTTATTGTCTCCAGGAGTGCTTCTCCCCTTCCCTCTCCCTATTATACACCTTGAAAATTATTTGAGAAAATTTCCTGTCCAGGAAGGTAGCTGGCTCTAACTTCTGTGTTAATACAGAAAAGAAAATCTGAAAAAGAGAAGTGAAAATAATACTTATAAAGAGGGGGATTAATGAAACATGATACACCAGCATAAACAAAAGGGGAAACAAGATGTGTTATGAAAGAAGTCCGGATTAATGGTACATTTCTCTGTAAAATATTATTCTACAAACACTTTGCAGGCAAATAATAGATTTTGAATGTGAAGATTTTAAGTCTGATTCCTCAGCCCACCCACATTCTTAACTACTTGTTTCTCAATGCCCACCATTTCTGAGATTCCTGTCTTCTTTTAATCTCTAGCACTCCAAGATTTTCTTCCTATGCAATGATACTATCTCTACATTCTAAGGAAAGAGAACCCATATAAGCTTCTGATCTTGTTTTCCACCTCACTGCATTTACCATGTCTTGGTAAAGTACCTGAATTTCTTCAGATCAAAGTGCTACAGAAAGGGGTGGCTAGGTATTGAAAACTGGCTTCTGTCTTTATGTTTTAAGTCAAAACCTTTTATGATGGAAGATCTCTGACAACAGGGACTACTTCTACGTGAAATGCCTAGTACCTACGAGAATGTGAGTACATGATAAATGTTAAATATTAAATTCAGAATGTTATCATAAAATGTGATCTGCTGATTAAGAAAATTGACTTTTCCCAAGTGATCTTTTATTATACTTTTAAGAGTTACCATTACTGAGCAGAGAGCATATTCGGTATTATTCAAAAGAGAAAACTACAGAGTTCATGTCCCAGGGGAAGACTGTCAAATTCATCTAGACATAAAATACAACATCAAAGACCAAGTTAAAACTTAAGAGATACAAAGCTTTATTAGAAAACTGTATTTACTTACTATTTTTGGTTAGTAGAAATGGAAGAACCTTTCAAAGCTAGCATATGGGGAAAGGTATAACACAGAAAGACTTTATTGACATATTAGGCTTGGTAAGACAATTTGAAAGAAGCAAATGAGAAACTGATGGAGTAAAATTTTTTTTTAAAAAAGGGAGGACAACTGACACAGGAATAAAGGCAACATGTAAAAATAGAAGCAGCAACAAGAAAGTCAAGGGAATAATGGAGGAAGTCGACATGGGATGTATAAATATTTGGAATTTCATGGGGTGTATCATGGGATTAAGAGGATAAATGTGCCCAAAGACAAGGGGATATAGTCAGAACTCTGAAGGATACTCAAAAGAGCGGGAATGGGTTTCTGTGGATAAAGAGATAGGGGAAAAAAGTCGTAATTAGTGCTGGATCCTGGGTTATTTCACCTACCCTTTACAAAGGCTCAAAAGCCATCTTCTCAATGATCGTTTTTTCTTTGTAACTAACATAACAGATCTTGCCATTTAGTGCCAATCCCAAGCAAAACTGTGGAGCCTTCTACCTTTGGCATTTTCACATCCATCTGCCAAGAACTGCCTACTTACTTCTTGATTTTTCTGCCTTCAAAAAAGGACTCAGCAAACTCCCAATGTCTGATGAAGGTTTACTGTCATTTACAGTCCAAATGGGAACACAATGTATTTTAACAGGGAACAGAACCTTTATAGCTAAAGGAATGAATCCCCTTAATTGAAATTTCAGGAGTTATTTGGAGAAGAGATTCTTTTTTTCTGAGGGACAGAGAAATCTTCTCAGCTGCCCTAAAATTCTCCCATGTAAACAGTTGCCTGCTGTATCCTCAAGGTTGGTCCCAGCACTCAGCAAAATGATGGACCCTGAATACCATATAACTCTATTTTTATTTGCTTTGTTGTACTATTAAAGAGTTTATTTCCAAAGTATGAAGTAGGTTATCAAAGATTGCTATTTTTCTATGTAGTGAAATAAGTGAGAATTAAAAAACATATTTGAGAAGTAGTAATATGTGTGTGTGTGTGTGTGTGTGTGTGTGTGTGTGAGAGAGAGAGAGAGGGAGAGAGACAGAGAGAGAGAGAGAGAGAGAGAGAGAGAGAGAGAGAGAGAGAGAAAGAGACAGGGTCTTGCTCTGTTGCCCAGGCTGGAGTACAGTGGCATGATCATAGCTCACTGCAGCCTCAACTTCCCAGGTTGAAGCCATCCTCCCGCCTCAGCCTCCTGAGTAGCTGGGATTACAGGCATGCACCACCAGGCCCGGCTAATTTTTTGATTTTTTTGTAAAGATGAGGTCTCACTATGTTGCTCAGCCTGGTCTCAAACTCCTGGGCTCAAACAATCCTCTTGCCTTGGCCTCCAAAACTGTTGGGATTACAGGCGTGAGCCACCCTGCCTGGCCAACAATATTCTTTTCTACATAGCCTAAAAATTGCCTAGCTTTTTGTTCCTTTAATTCAATTTGAGAGAAAAATTTAAACAGTCTTCCTAATAGCCAGAATGATAAAAATCTCTGAAGCATTTGGTATAATATAGGTCATTGTATTTACTAGGTGTTAATAAATTTCAAAGACAGAAAAAAAGAAAGAGAGCCAAATATATTTAATGAAAATTCGAAGGAAAGCTGGTCCATGAATATTTATCTTTTACAAGTGTTCTCTATTTTTAACTGTTTTCCTCTTTATGATCCAAGATAAACAACTGATAAAATTAATTTGGGCCGGGCGCGGTGGCTCAAGCCTGTAATCCCAGCACTTTGGAAGGCCGAGACGGGTGGATCACAAGGTCAGGAGATCAAGACCATCCTGGCTAACACGGTGAAACCCCGTCTCTACTAAAAATACAAAAAAATTAGCCGGGCGTGGTAGCGGGCGCCTGTAGTCCCAGCTACTCGAGAGGCTGAGGCAGGAGAATGGCGTGAACCCAGGAGGCGGAGCTTGCAGTGAGCCGAGATCCCGCCACTGCACTCCAGCCTGGGTGACAGAGCAAGACTCCGTCTCAAAAAAAAAAAAAAAAAAAAAAAAAATTAATTTGGAAGGACACCACTAAGCACACACATGCCTATTATAATATTTTCTGTCAACGAGAATATTTAATGTTACCTTTATTACTACGTAGCTTTCCTATAGTGACATTCTAGAGACATACTCTGAGAGAAAATTATTTAAGGAAAGATATCTTTCAGAAGTTCTAATGAAATGGCACTGTTAAGAGAACAACAAAAAAAGTAGTGAGGTCTCTTAGACTGCTAACTATATGATGCTTTGGGGAATTTGGAATTAAGTCAGAAAATCTTGAAAAACAGAAGTCTTAAGAAGAAACAATGATTTATAATGAATTTCATTTTCACTTTTTCTGATGGCTAGAGTTCTTATTCCACTTGAGCATAAAAATAATTTTTGATTACAAAGGTGACAAAACACCAGACGCATAAGATAAAGGCAATAAATTTTCTGAAAGAAAAGAAAATCATTTGTCTTGGATTATTTTAGGGGAAAGCTATACTGGATGGTTTCTATGTGATTCAAAGTCATCTACTTTATTTTGGCTCATAAATTGCCCATCAGTCCTTTTGGAGGATACCAACTTTTTTTTTTTTTTTTTGACACAAAGTCACGCTCTGTCACCTAGGCTGGAGTGTAATGGCTCAATCTCCACTCACTGCAACGTCTACCGCCTGGGTTCATGCGATTCTCCTGCCTCAGCCTCTAGAGTAGCTGGGATTACAGGTGCATGGCACCACACCCGGCTACATTTTGAATCTTTAGTAGAGACAGGGTTTCGCCATGTTGGCCAGGCTGGTCTCAAACTCCTGGCTTCAAGTGATCTGCCCACCTTGGCCTCCCAAAGTGCTAGGATTACAGGTGTGAACCACTGTACCCAGCCACAGGGTACCAACTTCTGCCCAGATAACAGAATGCTTTAAACAGGAGGGCTGGTAAACTTTTCATTATTTTTTGCAAAGCAGTATTAATACAATATCATGTCATTTTGTGAGTGACAGGTAAGAAGAAAAACTGCTGAGTACATGAACACTTGTTCTCTGTTACATTTTAAGCTGCAAATCAACAAAATCACCATATTAAATGAGAAGTGGTCTCACTGGCTCCCCAAAAATCTTTCAGTGACTGTGAATGGCCAGGTCCTGAAGCCATGTAATAGTAAGAAAAGTTAAAGGCTCACCACCCTCTTCGTTCTGCCAGGCCTCTCCACAGAGAATCTGTCCTGACCATTCTCTCGATGAGCTTCTTCCATAGCATGCCATCAGAGGTCACTCGGTACCATTCCTTGCATACAAGTTCAGCAGCACATAGTGATTTGGCATCCAGGTATGACAGAATGTTCTCAGCAATATGATCCAAACCCCGAGCTTTCAGTAGAGGGAGGAGGCAAAGAAAAAGAACACAGAGGGTGGTGAATGATTTTTTACAAAAGGTCCTTTAAAACAGAACAGCATTTGTTCTGCTATGAAGGCACATCATTGTCCCTAGTGTGGTCCAGTTTCTTTTTCAAACAGAGGCTTGGGTAAAATGAGTGTCAATAATTTTTCCATAAGGTTACAGAAATGAACAGTATTTTCCATCTTCCTTTAGATAAGGAAGTTAAAGTTAACAACCAGCAAACCCCCCAAGACATTAAAAATAAAAAGGATTCCAGAAAACAATTCACATCTATCTATATGGATTTCAGCACTAGGGGATGTTCTATGGATGGCATCTCAAACTCTATGATTCAGACCCCCCCAAATCTCTATATTAGGTCCATTTCTCATTCTGTTTCTATTACTGCTGCAGTTCCAAAGCTGTTCGGTTAAAGAAATATCCTTTAAATGTACTGGGGGAGAGGCACTAAGTCAGAATGTGCTGGGTTATAGAATTTTGGGCATGCAGAAAGGAGAGAAGAAGGAAATATAGAATGGCATGGAAATATCCCAAGAGAAAGACAGAGATGTATGTTTAAGTTCAAGAATGAGTTTAATTTCAGATTAAAAAAAAAAAAAACTATATTTGAGAGTAGCTGCTGCTATAAAACCTAAATGACAGTTGAGCAAAAATGAAAAAATTCCAGACCAAAAGATAACTTGGTTAGCATTTCAGAGAATATTTTGTAGGAGGTGCAGAGGAAAACAGTGGAGAATAGATCCTGGGGCATATAAACCAGAAGGGCTTCCCAATTAAAGTTCTCCAACACCCAAATCTGTATTGAGGTCTCAGAAGAAAAGATCCTATAAAATAGGATGAACTCACTAAAAAAACTTCTTTTGCCTGCTGTTCTACATTCACAATTGAGATAAAAATATTCAAAGTTATTTCTGTTTACAAAGTACATATCAGATGTTTTCTATAGACTTAAATAGTTCAGAAGAATTCCTTCATACTCTTACTCCCATAGGCACAAACTTAACAAGAAAGAGAACATGGCATTTCATTTTGGGCCTTTCCCCTGAATCATATCATATAAAGATAGTATGGATATCAGTCACACTTTTCAGCAGACTTGAGAAAGCAAGCATTAAATAGATTTTGTTTGGCTGGCATCGCATGTTCGTATTTAAGTATAAGCAGATGGAGACGTGCATTACCCAATTCTTATTGAAGAAACATGAACAAAAGCCAATTAAAGGTATAATAACTAGTTCTTCATGTAAAATACAGTAATGGTATGATTTATATTAAAACTTTGTACACCATCAGAAATTTCCAAAATGCTGTCCTGTTTTTAATGGGTGCCATCAAATTGCTCCTGATCATTTCACCACGTACCTTTAATAAGTCTTTGGAAGTAATTTCACCTAACACTCCAAACAAACCCATTACATTAATGGACTACAGGCACTTTTTGAAGTAGTTTAGTTTACTAAACACAGCCAGATGGTACAGGTTTATAAGTTTAAATGGCCATAAAGCATTAGATTGATGATTTAATACCTCATAGAGTGGTCAGCAGATACACACCAGGGATCAATATTAGGTAAAGGATACACAGGTCTAATCAACTCCTGTTCAATTCTTAGTGGTATAAGCTTGAGATAGTAACATGTCTCAGTGATTGGGGAGAACAAAGTAATGAGGTACACACAGATTGTACAAAGAAAACTGTTTGCCTATGGCTAAAACAAAATCCAATGAGTAAAAAGGGGGCAAAAATCTATTCCATTTAACAAAAGATATAGGTAAAATTCAGTTTTTACAGGGGTTATTCCTAAGATATAAATAGGTATTTCTTTTGTTTTAAAGAGCAACTTAAATTCCTAGTTCAGAAAAACAAAAATTTTAAAAAGGTATAATTAGCAAATATAAAACAAAGTAGTATAATAGTTGGGAGGCTATGAGCTGGTATATTTTTATCAGGGGATAGTTTGGCACCATGTATTAAAAGCCTTTAAAAATGTTCATATTCCTTAATATATAGCGATTCCATGTCTGTATTTTTTTCCGTAGGATTCCCACAAGATTAATGTATAAAAATTCATCATCACATGGTTTATAATAGGAAAAAATTTTGAAACTACCTAAATGTTCAATAAAGGGGTTAAATAATATGCTTCAACCATTGTAAAGAATATTATGCAACAACTGAAAAGAACACACATTCAGAAAAATACATGAAGAGAATGTATTCAGAAAAATGGTCACAAAACATTTATGATCAAAGCTTTATAGGAAAATAAAAACACATACCTAGACAAAACAGAAAGGCTACCTGCCAAAATATTAATAATATCGCAAATCAGTAGTTCTTTCTGAATGCTGGGGTTCTAGGAAATGTTTTAAAATATTTTCTAAGTTTCGTGTAACTTCTATAACTGGAAAACAACACCACTCCCTCCCCTAACAAGATATGACATTTAAGATAAGATTCATTCAAGTTGGTATGATTTTTTCCTCTTAAAATAAACTTTGAATACACAAGAATCTTATTTTCCTGACATAGCATTCCCCCCAAACACTGACACCTTGGAAGTGTTCTAGGTGTCAGTATTTGGGGGGAATGCTATGTCAGGAAAATAAGCCCTTCCAAAAATAAGCATTTAGAAAAACCACAGCACCCTCCAAAAAAAGGATTTTACATATCATTTTATATTTATTTATTTAACACCACAACAGGCTTATGAGATATCCTTCTTTCTAAAAACTTCAATTAAAAATGTTTCTTATTCATCTGTAGAATTTCAATATTCTGTTGATATATTCTCATAGAAATACAAATCCAAGTACATAAACATATCTTGAAACTAAGACATATTATAAAAGACACATCTTACACCAGGTAACACCTCAGAAAAGATTTTATTTGGACCTATGTATGGGTAAAAATAGGTTGAATAGAAGGGCATGAGTAAGAAGATAGGATAAAAGGAGTCTCGGCTAGGCGCGGTGGCTCATGCCTGTAATCCTAGCACTTTGGGAGGCTGAGGCGGGTGAATCATTGGAGGTCAAGAGTTCAAGATCAACCTGGCCAATATGGTGAAACCCCGCCTCTACTAAAAATACAAAAATTAGCCAGGCATGGTGTCAGGTGCCTGTAGTCCCAGCTACTCGGGAGGCTGAGGCAGGAGAATTGCTTGAACCTGGGAGGCAGAGGTTGCAATGAGCCAAGATCACGCCACTGCACTCACTCCAGCCTAGGCGACAAAGTGAGACTCGGTCTCAAAAAAAAAAAAAAAAAAAAAAAAAAAGAGTCTTTATTTCTAGAGTTTGTTTTTTTAAAAGCTTTATACCAGCCGAGCGCAGCGGCTCATGCCTCTAATCCTAGCACTTTGGGAGGCCGAGGCGGGACGATCACAAGGTCAGGAGATCGAGACCATCCTGGCTAACACGGTAAACCCTGTCTCTACTAAAAACACAAAAATTAGCCGGGCGTGGTGGCGGGCGCCTCTAGTCCCAGCTACTCAGGAGGCTGAGGCAGGAGAATGGCGTGAACCCGGGAGGCGGAGCTTGCAGTGAGCCGAGATCACACCACTGCACTCCAGCCTGGCCAAAGAGCAAGACTCCGTCTCAAAAAAAAAAAAAAAAAAAAAAAGCTTTACACCAAAAAGTACAGTTAAGGAACTTAATTTGTAAAAATCAAGCCAATAAAGACTTTTAAAGACAGATATATAGCTAGAGATTTAGTTCTGCTATCATCACAGCAAATTCATGGTTTACAAACACTTGTAGACATACCTGGCAAAGCAGTTATGAAATCTCTCTGCAACATAGGTTTAAGATATGAGTTTATGTGCCCATGTTGGTAATGACACATTTGGGATATAAGATGTTCCACAAATTCCACTTGATCTGACTCTGACCACTGCTCAAAGTATTTGACACAGAGTTCCTTTTCCTTTTCATAGCTTGCCGAGAGTTTCCGTTGCTTGGGCACAATCATACTGGAAGTGCCATTGGCAAGTTTTGTCTATAGAAGGGGGTTAAAAGAAACAAAATGATTAGTATTGAAAATGAGGGAAATATACACGATTTTCTGGTATGGCATGCTATGTTATGTCTACACGATTGAGCCGACTCTGTTATTCTATTAGCAATTACGTGGAAAACCACAGAAACACCATACAAAGTTGGTAAATCAGCTATACCGCCAGAAGACTAAGCATCCATTTCCAAAAGTTTGCAGAAGACATTCTTAATACTTGAAGATACACAAATAAAAACCGAAAGCTGAAAGCATGTTATTACTAGCAAGCCAAAAATCTAATTTGCTTTTTCTTGTATACAACAGTTGTTGGACAGTTATACAATTACTTGCTCACAACTTTTTTTTGAGACAAGGTCTCACTCTATCACCCAGGCTGGAGTGCAGTGGTGAGATCATAGCTCACTGCGGCCTCTAGCTCCTGGGCTCAAGCGATCCTCCCACCTGAGCCTCCAGAGTAGCTGAGACTATATTGGTGCAAACTACCATGTACAGCTAATTTTTAAATTTTTTTGGTACAGATAGAGTCTTCTTTTGTTGCCCAGGCTGGTCTCAAACTCCTGGCTTCAAGCAATTTTCCTGCCTTGGCTTTTCAAAGTGCTGGGATTACAGGTGTGAGCCATTGTGCCCTGTCATCACAGCTTTTTTTTTTTTAGGCAGAGTCTTGCTCTGTTGCCCAGGCTGGAGTGCACTGGCACAATATTGGCTCACTGCAACTTCCACCTCCCAGGTGGAGAATCAAGTGATTCTCCTGCCTCAGCCTCCCAAGTATTGGGACTACAGGTGCCCACCACCATGCCTGGCTAAGTTTTATATTTTTAGTAGAGACAGGGTTTCACCATGTTGGACAGGCTGGTCTTGAACTCCTGACCTCAAATGATCTGCCCGCTTCAGCCTCCCAAAGTGCTGGGATTACAGGCAATAGCCACCGTGCCCAGCCAACAACTTGGTTTTTAATTGTCAAATAAGAAGTCCTTTATGGAAAGAGAAACCAAAGAATATTCTGAGACTCTGTGGTACCTTTTTGAACATAAAGCTAAAATAACACTCATATGCTCAATCTACCCTTTTCCATAAAATAAAATGCTCTGTATTTCCCATGAAGTCTTTTTTATTAATTGACTCATTCAATAAGTATTTACTGAGCACCTACAATGTGCCAAACACCGTCCTTGGTACTAGGAATATAACAACAAAAATGACAGTCTCTAACATCACTAACATATACTCTTAGTGTAAAAGGCACATTAAAAACACAAGCAGCCAGGCGCAGTAGCTTACACCTGTAATCCCAGCTACTCAGGAGGCTGAGGCAGGAGAATAGCTTGAACCCGGGAGGCAGAGGTTGCAGTGAGCTGAGATTGCACCACTTCCCTCCAGCCTGGGCAACAGGGCGAGACTCTGTCCCCCAAAACAAACAAACAAACAAAATACAAGCAAATACTTAGAAAATATAATGTAGGTAGTGCTATGAAGAAAAGTAAAGCAGGATAAAGGAACAGGAAAAAAGTATATGTTATTGTCGTAGGCAAAATTCTAAGATGGTCTCCAAGATTCTTTTTTTTGTTTGTTTTGAGACAGAGTTTGTCTTGTTGCCCAGGCTGGAGTGCAATGGCATGATCTCGGCTCACTGCAACCTCTGCCTCCCAGGTTCAAGTGATTCTCCTGCCTCAGCCTCCCGAGTAGCTGGGATTACAGGCACATACCACCACGCCCAGCTAATTCTGTATTTTTAGTAAAGACAGGGTTTCTCCATTTTGGTCAGGCTGTTCTCGAACTCCCAACCTCAGGTGATCCGCCCACCTCGGCCTCCCAAAGTGCTGGGATCACAGGCATGAGCCACCGTGCCCGGCTGGTCCCCAAGACTCTTGGCCCCTGGTGTACACATACCTTCTCTAAGTTGTTCAAACAGTAATGTAGCTATTGCTGTGATTAAAAGAGGGATCCAAATCAGGTGACCTTAAGATACGGAGATTACTCTGGTGGATCTGACCTAATCATATGAGGCTTTAAAAGCAGAGTTTGCTCCAACGGGTTGCAGAGGAGGAAGGGGGCCAGCTGGCAAGGAATGTGGTCAGTCTCTAGCTGCTGAAAGGAGCCCCCAGTTGACAGTGAGTAATAAAATGGGGGTCTCAGTTCTACAATGGCAAGGAACTGAATTCTGCCAACAAGAAGAATGAGCTGAGGGCCGGGCGTGGTGGTTCACTTCTGTAATCCAAGCACTTTGGGAGGCTGAGGTGGGTGGGTCACCTAAAGTCAGCAGTTTGACATCAGCCTGGCCAACATGGCAAAACCCTATCTCTACTAAAAATACAAAAAATGAGCCAGGTGTGGTGGCAGGCACCTGTAATCCCAGCTACTCAGGAAGCTGAGACAGGAGAATCGCTTGAACCCAGGAGGTGGAGGTTGCAGTGAGCCGAGATAACGCCACTGCACTCCAGCCTGGGCAACAAGAGCGAAACTCCATCTCAAAAAAAAAAAAAAAAAAAAAAAAAAAAGAGCTGAGAAGAGGATTTTCCCTCAGAGCTTCCAGATTAGAACTCAGTCCAGCCCAACACCTTGACTGATTTAAGCCTTGAGATACTCTGAGCAGAGAACCCAGGAACTATGTGGCACACTTCTGACCCTTGGAACTATACACAGAACTAATAAATAGGTGTTATTTTAACTAGCTAAGTTTGTGGTGATTTATTAGGCAGCAATTAACAAAAAACCAATATGATTATTTAAGTCTAAGTGGTTAGAGATATTTTCCTGAAAAAGGTGACATTTTAACTCAGACATGAAGTAAATGAGGACTAGACAGCAAGGAAGAATGGTCTAGGCAATGGGAATTTTGAGACCCTAGGTCCCAGGTGGCAGTTGGCCTGGCATGTTCAAGGAATAAGAGGGTCTGGTGTGGCTGGAATAGAATGAGCAAGGAAAAGTTACGGTTGGAGAAGTAGCCTGGGTCAAATCATCCTGGTCATTCCGGTGGTGGTAGCTAATCTCCACAGATTAGCCCCAGCAACTCCAGTCCTCCCTCTACATGAATGCTACCCCTCCCATCAGAAGTGGAGATTATGTCCTATTCTGTGAATCTGGGCTTTGACTAAGAGAATGGGGAGGAAGTTGCATTCCATTCTGGGACTTCCAAGCCCAGGCAACTTCTGCTTACTCCTTAGAGCGTTGAGCTACCATGTGAGAAACTCAGGCTAATGTGAGAGAGAGACAGGTATGGAGGATGAGAAGCCATACAGAGGCGCCACATGGGCAAACACTCAGAAGCATAATAGCAACACAATCTGACACTGTTTAAAAAGACCACTGCTATGTGGTCCTTTAAAACTATATGGGACATAAATAGGAGGAGGTAGGTAAAATAAGACACTACTTCAACAGTCCATGGAAGAGAGAACAATCTCTTGGACCACAGTGGTAGCTACAGAGGTGGTGAGAAATAATTGGGATTCAGTGTATAATTCTGAAGACAGATCCTACTGAATTTGCTGATCGACTGGATATGAGTATGAGAAAAAAGGAGGAGACAAAATCATACCCAAGTATGAGGCTGGGGGACACTGGGAAAAGATTCAGAAATCAATAGAAACTTTTGCTACTCTGAAGAAAGTAGGATTTTCTTTAAAGGATAATCACAAATGGGTACAACTGGGTACTTTTCAAAGTAATTTGATGGATCTTTGGCATATTTACTTAAGCAACCCAAATGTGGCAGGAAGACCCACGTTACCATAGAGTTCATCCCTCCTTAGACATACTTAATGTGGAACATGCTATAAAACTGTGCCAAATTTAGATAATTCATTTCAAGGCTCAAGCTTGCCTTATTTTCTTTTATTTTTAGAAACAGGGTCTTGCTCTGTCATTCAGGCTAGAGTGCAGTGATCATAGCTCACTGCAGCCCTGAACTCTTGAGGCTTATTTTCTAGATGTTAAATCCTAAACACAGGCCTCTTTACAAAGTAAAGATACATAGCTGAAAGCATATTTTCAAGAATGGCATTAGGCCATTTTATATACACAGAAGGAGCTGACCCTTGTAATCCTGGTGTGTTGAGGTGGATGTTTTCTAGCATAAATGCCACTGTTGCCTATGATACAGACTAAAAATGATTACTAAGAAGCTTGTTGGACATAGGCCTTGGGGGACTTTAGGGTTGCTTTTTGTATAGGGTATTTGTTTGTATCTCAGAAATGAAAACTCATGAAATGTGAAGATTTAGAGAACTAACACACAGGCAAGCTTATAAGCTTGACCAAATGCCACTTCTAATCCCAACAATGAAAACCTCCGAAACTCTATCATTTTTTAAAAAAAATATATTTGCCTTTTAAAATGCACCCTTTGTCTTTTAAAAGGTGGAAATGGACATGAGTCAGGTGCTACTGGAGTAGTTTTCTGGATAAAGACCAGAATGCCAGTAACACAGAAGAACAATCAGCAACTTACTGAAATTATTCCACTTACACATTAAATAAATGAGATATTGCTATAATCATGAGGAGTCATGCTTTGATCAGTGGCTATCAGACTGTTAGATAAAACTGACTAAGGATTTAAAAAGTTTGGGCATCCTACTGCAGAAGCTAAAGATAAGTCAAGACTTTGTGATACTTTCAACGATCAAATCATAAGCGGGAATCAAACATTTGGTTATTAGACATAAAGTATAAACTGAGATTTCACATATTTATCAACTGTTCTGGGTTATTCTAGCGGGTATACATTTTAGTCACCACCCCTCAAAACGAGTATTTTTTTTGATGAGGCAGAAAGACACATACCTGAGATCCATTATCAAATGGGTTACTCTCAACCGCTACCCCATACTGTATTGTTTTAAAAGCTTTGGCCCTGGAGTAAAAAGACCTGGTTTCAAATTCCAGCTCCTCAATTTAGCAGCTGTGTGACATGGAATAAATAACTTGATCTTTCTGAGTCTAATTCTCCCATCTATAAAATGGGGATAATAATAGGTTCTATT